GGGGGGGGGTTGATGGGACTTGGTGTGGCATGTTTGGTATGTTATGTTGGACCATATTGAATAGGATTTGAGAAGTAAAATAATTTTAAATCTTATCTATTATACTATCCAATGTTGTCAAATACTGCTTATCAAAAATACTTATGGGATCTATGCTGCTTGTACTTTATTTTCGGTCCTGGGAAAATGAGTTCAAAATGACCAGTCTCTCGCTGAGATGATTTCTCATTTTATTTAGAACATAGCCGACTTCTGAAAAAAATACGTAATAGATTGATGAACATCTATGCTCCATAGCCCAGTTTAGATTGATAGCACTTGCCTCAGAGAAGAGCTCATATGATTGCTTATACCGTTCGAACCCTAACTCTTTGAATTTTGATTTTAATATTGTTCATGAATTTTATTTTATTTTTTGAAATGCAGATACCATGGAAAGAAACTGTGAGGCATCCATAAAGTGCTTCGAGAACGAGGGTTATCCTTGCAATCTGCGTTTTAATGGCAACTCTGTTGAAGGCTTTCGAGGGCTCCAAGAGGGCATCTATGCTCCCCCAACAGTTACAAAATCAGATGGCTCAATAAGCAGCAAGCCTCCTGAATCTTCTGAAGAATCCAAACAAAGAGCTGTCTGCCATCATGAATTTGGCTCGTGGTCAGCCTTCTATCCCGATTCTAGTAATGTGCTGATGCACCAACCTAATGCCTTTGAGGGACAGTTCTTCCCATTTGCAATAAATTATCGATTTCAGTATACCCCATCAAACATGTTTCCTCCAAATTATCCACATGATTACTGCTTCCAAGATTTTCAATATTTTATTGTTATTGATTTTGAGGCGACATGTGACAAAGAAAAAAATCCTCATCCACAAGAGATAATTGAGTTCCCATCGGTAATAGTGAACAGTGTTACTGGACAGTTGGAAGCATGTTTTCAAACATATGTGCGACCAACTTGCAACCAACTCCTAAGTGATTTCTGCAAGGATCTGACAGGCATCCAACAAATTCAGGTTTGTTTTGAATGTATTTCAATCATTTTGTTTGTGCATGTTGAAAAAAAAAAAAAAAATTAGACAAGGTGATACCCATATGAGATTAGCGATGTTCTAAAAGGCGGGCCTAGCGGCGCCTTGGCGCGATGCACGGTGGAAACGACAAGCCAAGTGGCTTGGCGCCTTATTTAGCGGTCAACCGTCAACGATTGCCATTGACTGCTAATGCGCGCTTAGGGGCGCATTATTATTATTATTATTAAAAAAAAATTTTAATTTTTTTTTACAATTCTTTTAAATTAAAACTTAAAGGTTGATTTGCATTTGAAACTTATCTTTTGTTTGAAACTTTTGAAAAAATGTATAAAATTTCCATGAATCTGTTTTAGATGTTTAATATGTATTATTTTTAATTATTAAATGATTTTTTTGTTGATTAAAAATTAAAATAATATTAAAATAAGAAGATGTCTTTTTATGTTTTTTCACGCATATGCCTCGCCTGGCCCATAGCTTAACCTCCACGCATTGTCTCGCATTACGCAGACTAGTAGATTACCATTGAGAGAGAGAGAGGTGGTTTCTTCAAGGGGAGAGAGCACATATTGAGATGGTTATTCGGTCGGTCCAATACTTTCTTGGTCACGCTTCAAATTCATTGTGGAAGAAAATTCGAAAGGTTTATATTCCAGGCATAAAACCAAGATAGTGTGCAGTGTGCTACTTGACTTGAATGGCTGTACCCATGATTCTTTGCTTTTCTATTATTCCTTTCATCAAGGTTAAAATGCCTCTTAGATCTATCAGGGTCGCCCTATCAGGAGACTTGTCATTATTTATTAATAAAGCCACTATTTTGGAATTATCTAGTCGAATTTAGAAAGCCTGACTGAGCACTTACTATTGAATCTGTTCTTTAACTTTTTAAATTGTAGAACACACATCTCCGCCCAGCTACTCCGAAGGAAACAAAAAATAGAAACAGAGAAAAGGAAAACTCACCAACATGTGATAAAGACTACCTGTATTTTTTTATCCATACAATTCACTTTTGACAGTCCCTTAACACATCACATCGCATTCTTGTTATAATTTATTTTGAGTATATAACTTTATTATTATTTTTTATTTAAGAACCTAGCTTTTTTCTTGGACAAATTTGGTTCAGTCACAAGGAAGCTGTTTCTCGACAGTTAATTTCAGTCAATTTGTTATTAAGCCCCCATTTGGTACACATTTTGAAGGTGAGAATGCATTTTTACTGTTGATGTGATGGAGAATATGTGGTTGAAAAAGAAAAAAATTATTGATTTAATGGAAAATATTATTTTATTGAAGAATGTGTGGTTGAAAATGAGTAGAAGAATGAGAATGAAAAAAATTATGTGAACCAAACAGGGCCCAAAAGTTGACAGTTCTAAGAGTAATTTATTCTATCTTTTTCCTAGATGATTAAAGAAATGGGTGATTCCTATAAATGTGGAAGTACGATATATGTTTTTCTCCACAGTGCAGAACATCAAAGAAATTTTCCTCTTGCTGGTGAAGGGAAAAACTACACTACAACACATGGAGTCGGATAATAGATTTTTCTGCTAATAGGATTAAAACATGCAATGTCTTGTAGTCATTTGCAGTTACTGGTTATTAAACGATGACAGTTTTAAAGTAACTTATTCTATAATCCTCATTGAAAGATTTTTTTTTCTAAGATAAATAAAGCAATGGGTGATTCCTATAAATGTGGAAGTACGATATATGTTTTTATCTGCAGTGCAGAACATCCAAGAAATTTTCTTCTTGCTGGTGAAGTAGTTGAAAAAACTACACAACGACACCTGGAGTGAGATCTTAATAGATTTTTCAGCTAAATACGCTAAAAACATGCTATGACTTGTAGTCGCTCTGGGACTGAAGACTGAGAAATGAGAATGATATGATGAAATGAGTATAGATGGAATCTTGAGAAAATAGTTCAGTAGCTGTCAAGCTGATTACCCAAATTCCATTTTGATTAGTGAAAAATTTGCCAAGTAGTTCAGATGTCAGTATGTTTTGTGAACTTAACAATTGTGTTCTTCATACTGTCTGATGCTATCCTTTATCCTGAGTCCTAGTTAGTTATTTAGTTTGTACTGAAAATTTTATGGCAACCAATGAACTTGTTCTCATAAGACTGTTTGGCTTTACTAGGTGGACAGGGGTGTTACTCTAAGTGAAGCTCTTCTTAGGCATGATAAATGGCTTGAGAAGAAGGGGATTAAGAACACGAACTTCGCTGTGGTTACGTGGTCCAATTGGGATTGTCGTGTAATGCTAGAGTCAGAGTGCCGTTACAAAAAAATTAGAAAGCCTCCTTATTTTAATCGGTAATTTTCTGGTACTCATATTGAAATGCTTGCCATCGAAGCTTAAAACTATTCTCTACCATCTGCATTCTCTTATTTTCAAATTAAATCTGTTATGTCTGTAGCCATTAACATGTATTTGCCTCTCTTTGCACAGATGGATCAACTTGAAGGTTCCTTTTTGTGAGGTTTTTGGTGGGGTGAGGTGCAATCTCAAAGAGGCTGTCCAGATGGCTGGTCTACCCTGGCAAGGTCGTGCGCACTGTGGTCTGGATGATGCCAAAAACACTGCCCGCTTACTTGCATTGCTCATGCACAAAGGCTTTAAGTTTTCAATTACTAACTCTCTTACTTGCCAGTCTATTGATGATTGCTATACTAGGAAGCCATCCCAGGAACAGCAGCCTTTTTCTGCATCACCTCAACCTCAGAAATTGAGGGAATCGCAAGCTCCAGTGGTGCACAACCATCCTTGTTGTTATTGTGGGGTGAAAAGCAGCAAAGGGATTGTTCGTAAACCCGGTCCTAAGCAAGGGTGCCTGTTCTTTGGATGTGGAAACTGGACTGCTGCTAGAGGTGCTCGATGCCATTACTTTGAATGGGCTTCTACCTGACTCATTATTCTGACCATAAAATGAGCAATTCTACTGCCCTTTGTGGAAAAAAGGGAACAGAAAAAAAAAAAAAAAAAAATAGACAATTGGAAGAGTTTGGGCTCTCAGAGGAAGCAAATATGACGTTGCCTTGGTTAGGTTTCTGCTTCTCTTCGAGGTACTTGTAGATAGTTGGCTCTGATGCTAGAGACGGGCGATCCAGCCAGTCTAGATGACTTCATATTGAGATAAAATCGAACATTATATTATTCGAGGTACTAATAGTATTTTGTGGCTTGCTTAATCATCGTTAATAATGTGTGACATAGGGTATGTATTTTCAATGAGAAGGACCTCTGTTTAAAATGGATTTGAGTGCTTATTTGTGATCAATTTCCATTAAGCTACTCATCCGGATTGTCTTCCGTCCAACACAGATAGCAGTTATAAATTTTCAGCTCAAAACTTGGGTGCATTATGGTCCTCAATATCTATAGAACCAGACACTGGTCCTGTCCGGATCATACTAATGGACCAGTTGACAAGTGAACCGGTCAAAGACCCACTGATATCCACCCTGTTCAGATGGGTGGTGCGAAGGAACTGGGACCGGTTCGTAAATGTCTTCAATACAAAACATACAAGTATTGAAGATAAGTGAGATTCGAACCATGGTATGTGACATGAAGGATCTTGCGCCAAATTACTTGCAAAAACATACATAATTACGAGAGAATGGGGAAGAATTATGTTTTTGAATAGTGCCTTTTGTTTTTGAAAAATGCTATTCATCTCCAGTGGGGATGTATCCCCAATCTATGTGGATGTAAATGATTGGTTAAATGATAGGTGAAATTAAATGACTTATTTAATTTCACCTATCATTTAATACCATATTAACGCCATATAGACTGATGCATTTCCACTGGGGATGAATAGCATTTCTCTTTGTTTTTTAGAATGTGCGATTAAAAAGTAGGGAAAAATTTTTGTTTTGCGTTTATAATATTTTATTATATGAATGTGTTATTGAAAATGAATATGAGAAATAATAAGTTTTGTTTTAATGAGAGACAAGCAATATAATGAATATTTTTTCCTTGAATATATATATATATATTCGAAAATAACTCTCGAAACCACATACTGTCGGTTCAATAATTGACCCAATTCCTCGGCTGGTTCCGGTCCAGATCTGATACGATGAGGAAAGAATTCCTTGGACTGGGTTTATCACCGGACTGATACAATGGGGAAAGCGTTTCCTAGGAATGGGTTTATATATCTATAAATTGTACCACTGGTCCCCAATTTATTCCTCTTAGTAAACTGGTCTCTAAGTTTTGAAATGTAGCGAGTTGATCCCAGCTTTTTACCGTAGTTTTCGCAATCATTAATCAATGATGGCAATATTTCAAGTACGTGTTAATCCTCATTTTATGAAGTAAGATTTTCTATGGTTTAGAAAACAAATATGAAATCCAACCAACATCTCCCTAAACACCCCATGAAATCTGAATTGAGATTTCAAAGAAAATGAAATACCAAAATTAAGGATTGTTCTCTTTATGTTTCAGTTTTGTGTTTTGAATTCATTTTGAGTTCTGTATTTTGAATTCATTTTTAGATTATTGAAAACATGTTCTTTTTGACATTTCGAAAAATTATTTTAAAAACACTCAAAACGTGTTTTGAAATTTTTGACTTGATTATAACTGAAAATACACAAAACAACAAATTTGTCATTTTTTATTTTCTTCGTAAATTTTTAACTTGTTTTTAAAAATAAATTTTCGAAAATAGAAAAGAGAACGCGTTTTCACTGTTTTGAAAAATCGACAACAAAAAAGGACTTAAAAATAGTAAAGAGAACAGACCCTAAGTGTTTCCCATAACGGAAATTACAAATTTTTAATATTTAATCCCCTGCAACACATGAAGAATCACTGCCTGCCATGCAATGTTTGTAGATTCTATTTGACACCATAGCCTTAATGGAGGTGCCTTCATCTTGTAAAACTAGGATAACGAATACCAGAATTCGCAGTAACTGAACGAGAACTAATCCAAAAAAGAGTGAAAATTGGTGCTAGATAGCAGCATATAAGAAGTCTATTACAACATATTCAAGTTCTCTACGAGATTATGCATTATGCAAAGTATAACGATTACAGATAATCTTTCAAAAGAGAATTATAGAACGACGAACAGCGAAGATCATTTTGGTTCTAGTGATCCATTGACTTTCTCCACGATCCCTCACATCTTCTGCAATCATTGACACACAATAAAAAGCATTGAGTTCAAATACAAGCAGTATACAATGCAAAATTGCAGGATAATTTCTGAGCCTGTTGATGGCCTTTACCTGCTGCATAGGAAGGTACAGCTTGAATTCTGGTGGGAGTTCCTCCTCTGAATAAAGGCGGTCGGAGAAATATATCCTCCTTAGACGGCAATTTGGATGAACCTGAACTCTCAGTGTTTCGACATAGTTGGTTCCATATGCTCGTCTAGTCAAATCAGTGAGATTCAGCTGGATTTGATTCCATCCCTCATCCAGTTTCAAGGGCATGGTGCAGATAAAAGGTTTGACTCGTGTGACAGCCTACAACAAAATAGGGAGAATTTTAGTTTGCACGTCACCAAAACAAAGAAGACATCTATAGATTTCAGTCTGAAACATATTAAAACCATCAAATAAGTTTCTCTCAGTCACAAACATAGATATTAGTCATTTAATACAAAGTGCCAATAATCTCTAGAGCTTGGGCATCATTCTTCCAGTTACAAGTTAAAGTAACAATCAGTTTCTGAATGGAATAAAGCATTCTTATTTTCAATACTCGTCATCTGTTGCACATTTTATTGTTTGCTGCAGCTTATAATTTCTTGATTTTCCATTTTGAAAATAGATTGTATTAAATATTTGTGTTGGCTGATGAATTGTTCACTTCTTTTGTGCAGGTTCGATGCTATCTATATTACTGTTGAGCTGTGCAAGCACAAAGTAAGAGGTGTTTTACAGTGTGCAGTTTGACAAAGAAAGGTGTTCCACCTTTCCTAAACTTGTATTTTGTTGACACTATCAAATCAGGTGAAGCTGCAGCATGAAAAGAGACGAAAAATATAATGTCTGAAGAAAATATATGCAGACGGGTTGCAGGAAAAACTGTCACAGATGTCTAATCAATTTGTTAATCTTGTAGAGTTATAACTGTAGCATCACATCATTCTTTTTTCCCCTATGTGAAAAATTGTTTACATCATTCTACGATCTTCTCTTAACACCCAAGAGAGAGAATTCCATGCAACCAATACCGCTAAGGGAAAAGGCATCTAGAGCACAAAACTCGTGCAAGAATGTGTTCCCTAAGCACTTTTATTTTCCTTGATTTCTTTTCTCAGGGACATTTAGTATGATCAAACATACAATTGCCTATTTCATATTTCAATAATTACGATTATGGAGATTAAGTACATCATTTCCCATTTCAAATGCAGATATGGTCACAAGGACAATAATTATTTAATTTTTTAGATTATCTTCCTTGTAGACATTCATCATACTCAAATATACAATTGAATGTTTTAGGCACCAACTTCCTATAGTATGCATCCATTATGTGAAATAGTTATTTAAGCTGACCAAATGTAAACAAAATAAAACAGAATACTATTAAATTACATTAACGATGACAATTGACAAGCAAAGGATGTAAAGACAAGGACTCTAACAACAAAACATGTCCACTTGAAAGAATAAAGTATAATCAAATATATAAAGAACAATCACAATTGCTCTCAAGTATTTACATTTTCAAAGAATCCATCACTTTCACCAGCAGTCCTAAGTGTCAGATATACCCTCTATGATTTTAGGTACATGTCAGATTTTATTTACAAGTCTTTGGCATTAACGAAAAAGCATAACATAAAAATGTTAAGCATGTTTGGAGAAAAACTTGTGTTATCATATTGGCCCTGTTAAACAAACTGTTCTCCAGTTTTGCAAACACAAATTAACCAAAACATGTAAATTGGGATGAAGAAAGTACATTGAACTATACAAGGAATACATTGACATCAATTAAAGAAGTAAGCAAAGAGAGAACTCGGGTAATATCAAAAGTAATTAAGCTTAAATAGACACTAGGAAGACTTACAGACTTGAAAATTAGAAGCTCGAAATCTTCGGCGGACGTTCTTATCATCCAGCACCTGAATTTCAAACGTGAAGTACTTCTTCATATTTTTCACAATCAGGACTAAGAATGGTAGCTTTATACCAAGTGTTGCATTGGGATCCGCTGGACATGTAATAAAAGTAGACTGGACATTTGACCCAACTATTTCGAGAATGTTAGATTGTATGTCTTCATCTGGCAATCGTTTGATGTGGCCATCGACAACTGCAAGAGATTTTACGTGGACACAATTGTGTAAAGATGTTAGCGTGCACAAGACATACAGATATGCACATATAATTTACAAAAACATGTTGCTGAAGAGAAAGCTGTTGTATGTAAAGAGACAAAACCGATGTACTCTCTTCTATATCTATAATCGTTGAGAGCAGTAAGCAGGCTGATGATTGAGTATGTTGCCCCCACTTTGCAGTTGTATGTTTTATTACTGTAAAACCATTTGTCTGGTAAAGGTAGGAGTTGAAAACATAACCATTTCTTGCAAGCAATGTGTAAAAAGGGTCAATTAATTCTCAGACCGGATACTCACTTGAACCACAACTCTAATAATGGCCACTTTTGGCTGTTAACAACTATCTGTTTCGAATTTCTCAATTCAAGGACAACTTTAGGAAGTACAGAATTTTTAGAAACAAGTAGCACAGTAACCACCTAAAGGAAATCTGATCCTTATCCTTTGGGATAAAATACGGCGATAGCACATGAATGGCCATTGGCCAATAATATGGACTTACACCCCAGCTATCTCCTCAAAAATTCAGTGCAAAATTGGTCAAACAAACAACTATAGAGATTGCCACGTATCTGTGGTCAGGGAACAACAAAGATTACTGGTGCTTGATAACTGTGTTATACCGAACACCAGTTTTCCCATTGGTTCAATCAAAGACTAGGCACTTCTGATGGATATTATTATATAAGCGATTATTTTCCAATTTTATTGTATGATTAAAGATAAGGTCTACAAGTTCTCCACTTCGGGCTACTTTTAGACGGTCTTGATATTCAGGCGCTTCTCCGATTGGTCAAGACACCTCTTTTCAACTGACCACCAAAACAAAATCATAGTTGTTGATACTCTATTACTTCTCTTCCTCTTGTTCGTGAGTTACATCTCGTGAAACTCTTCACCAGGTAAATCCCCCTTGGAATACCTTATAGAGCTGGGCAGTCGAGATATCCAATTAAGATATCTTAAAGCACTGAAGCTCGTGCAGCAAAACAACCGAAAGAGAATGCTAAACCTGACCTTTGTCCGATAGTTCTTTTCTCTACAGTATGGTATAAGCCCCCATTTGTTTCCCATTATTTGTCAACGAGAATTAATTTTTCAACCTTTTTTTCCAACACGTGGGTCCCATTGTGAGATAAAAAGTCAAAAAAATGGCTGCTTAGATTTGCAACGGTAGGAAAATTTATTAAAATGAGCTAAAAAATTGGAAACAAACAGGCTGTAAGTATAGTATGGTAGACTTATAACCAATTACCAATCTAATCGGAACCAAGACAACCTATCTTAATTAACTAAAAAAGGGTTAAGGGTATCTGCTAGCCGGGGCTGTCGATGAGAGGAAGATACCTACTAAATTATAGAGCTTCTGCTGACTTTTTATTCTTTTACTTGTAATAAGATTCCTAAGGCTCGTAGTTTCTGCTAGGGATCATAAGAAACCTCATAACTTAAAAATTTAACGTAAGGATAATGGTTGAGTTCATTTACACTTTGACATTGTATACCTTGTCTATTTCATGAATTCTTCTAGAAAACTCAAAAACTTATGGTATCATTACAAAGCCCTTTTCACTCGGTGTATAATAAGCAACACAAAGTATTAGAACCATACTCCAAACAAGAAAGAGCAACGGAAAAAATAAAGAGTTACCTTCTTTATCCCATATCTGTAAAGGCTTGCTCCTGCCAAAAATTTAAACAGACAACCAAGAAAATATCAAAAAATAGAAGTCTTAGAATAAGTTTCTCTGGATAAGAAAACAAATAAGTTAAAAAATTAAATTATAGCATTAACTTAATAAAAAGCCGCATACCCAAGGCTGTAGAGAATTGAGAGGAAACCAGACTGGAACGTGTTCTTGAACATCTCTTCAGCTATTTGAATACTAGTCGAACTGCAAAAAATAAAATAAAAACTCCTAAATTCTATCCAATCCAAAGATTCAATAATGGGCGCAGGAATCGTAGCTCAATCGAACCCTTTTTCCTGTCTAATTCAATATTTTGATACATAAACTTTACTCTTTTGATCATTTATGATAAACCTTATTCCGAGTATTCTCGAAGATTACACGGACGGACATACGCACCCAGGAAAGAGAGAGATTTACCTCAGCACAGTTCGCCGACAATTTGAGCAAGAGAGAATACGAAAGAAGAACAATTACGACGAAACGTCTCTGAGATATCAATTTTTGTTAATTGCGGATTTGCCCCATCATTTATAATATTATTTTATCTTAGCCTTCTAACTATAGATTTTCTATTTAGGCCCTTCAGTTATTAATCAAAGAAATGCCATTAATAATAATAATAATAATAAATCAAGAGATTAGAGGTTTGCATTGTAGGGACGAATTAAATTCATGTTGAGGTCCATTTTTCAGTGAACAATCGTAAGCTAAGGGCCTCTTCAATGGTGGATTGAAAGTGTGTATAAATTGATATCTCAAAAATCACTCTTACTATCTCATTTACATTCCAATGGATTTAAATCGACCTTCTACCTCTTGTGGATGTTTGGAAAAATGTAAATTTATATTTTTTAGTCTAAATATGCAATTTGCATTTTCTTCATATCTTTTCGTTGGAGAGGATTATGATCACTTTACATAACGATTGGGGATGCTCTAAATGATTCACGAAATAGCCCCCATGTGACCGGCTTGTAGGAAAAAGTCTATGATCATTATAACAATAAACTTAATATCGTTGAAAAGAGAGTCGATAATTCACTTTAAAGTGATTCAGTCCACAATTTCCCATGATTTCTGAGTAATAGAACACAGGGCTATGTATCCACTTTCCACACGAATTATAACATCACTATTTTGTTTAAAACGATTCATCTCCAATGCAGTCCAATGTGGTATCATCCAAAGAGCTCCAATGGCATCCACATCTACCCTCCAACATTTGAGTTAAAATCAGAAGCGAAGCCAACAATGGACGAGAATTTTTTGTACTGAGATGATACATATAAAAATAAAATCCATTAAAACTCTTTTTTTGACCTTTGAATAGGTGCGAGCTTCCCTCTGCCCCTAGTTTAAACTGGATAGAAGACACAACGTCCAACCTCGAACAATCTCATAAACCACTATTTAGGATATGTTTGATATATGATTATGCTACAAAAAATATTTTCTATACATTTCTAGATAAACTATTTTATACGTATCTTACTCATCAAATAAAAATTATTTGTACGTTTCAACCCTAATCATTTTATGATTTATTTTATTTTTTTTCTAATTTTGAGATAACGTAAAATGCGTCTTAAAATCTTCAAGTATCTCAAAATTTGTATTTTTCATTCTGAATTTTTTCATCATTGAAACTAATTTCGAGTGCAATAATTAGATCAATTTTCACTTAATTACATATTTAGTATCAAGTAAGATGATTATTTTTCATAATTTCATTTTCTTCTTTTTTTTCCTTTTATAATTCATTCATATTGTATGTGCATAACAATACTTCACTCAATAAGAAATGGGATTTTATTTTTTACACCATTCAAGCTCATGTGAGCAAACAAGAGCTAACTTTCAACCATTCATATACATTCAGTCACAAACTTTATTTATTTGAAGGGGTGAGGGGTAACTTATTCCATGTTCCAGGGAAAAGAGTCTGCATTCCCTATTTGCAAAGATTCATAAACTTCAAATGCTAATGATTGCATAGTTAGGCCTTCAAATTAGCGATACCGTCGGAGTCTTTTTTCAGTCGCCCTTGACCTCTATCTAGACTTTCACAGAATAATGGACAATGGTGCTCTGTCCATTAAACTAAAAAGCCAGCAAAGATATGGCAGTGTCAAGGGAAAAATTTTGCACCTTGGTTACTTTGTTGATAAGTGGGGATAGGCACCCCTGACTCTGCTGTTAGCTTTTCGAAAGCACTTCGCAATCTTCGAGTCACAGGTCCCACACCGCCATCACCTACTGTGCGACCATCAATCTTAACAACCTAGTACAGTTCAGAATAATATAAAAGCATCACTACGACTGAATTCAACATTAAAACATTTTAAACAAAGTTTAGAACAAAAGATTTAACACCATCGACACTTTCAAGCGTCGAGTGGACCATACGCGCTCTCAGTTCAACCGAACTGCATTATTTCAAGAAGTTCATCTAAAGAAGCACCTTTTAAAGAACCTAAAAAGTTAGCTTTCCTTCATGCTCTCTGGTAGCAGATAACAATTAGTTATAATAGGAGTTATGACTAAAGAAGCCAGGACTTCATAGAATCTTAACAAGCAAAAAAGATCTGAAGTCCTGGCACTTTTATCTTGAAATCGTGTGAAGTAAATTATAGAAGAAAAAAGTCAAAAGGATAAATAAAGGGAATGAACCGTGTCAAAGAGTTAAGTCAATGATCTGGGCTCAAATTGTTGAGACAAACTATTTATGACCATCAGACCATAATATTTTAACAAATGACTTACTGGGCTGAGCTCTCCAATAGTTCCTACAGTCCATACCTGCAGGAAATCAGTTCACTTTATCAAATAGGTAAGAGGAGAATTTACCAGAAGCATCATCAGTAACTAGATTGATGAATTTTACATGGATGTCACAATTACCTACAGTCAATGAGAAAAGAAAAAGAAAAAAGAAGTAACTAAACCATCCATTACTTCTCATGCAATGAAAATGTGGTAATACATGCTATAATGACCAAGTTATCCACTTTAAATGACGTAAAATTACTAGGATTCCTCTACCTTGGATGTGCAATAAAAGGAATAAATGCGTACACATAAAAAGTAAGTTATGTGTGACTGTCACTCACAGGATGACGAGAAAACTTATTTTTCCTGTTAAAATATATAATCAAAAAATGTTCCAAGAGAATCCTACAGATAATCAAAGATAAAGTAATTAAAAACCAATTTCTTGAACTAGTGAACAGTACCAGAGTAAATTGATACTTCTGCACATGAAACATAAAAAGTGAGTTCGTTCTTGAAGATGCCAAAGATAATGGCTTAAATTCTAGAAGGCAAAACTATTGGGTACAAAAAGCAAGATATCTGTATAAATAATTATGGGAAAGAAAGCAAACGGCCTGATTCACATATAGAGACAAAATCACATGCAATATCACTTAATATGTTCGAGAATAAACCGGCGTGAAAAGATTGGATACTTAGACAAACTCCTCAACAACACTAGCATCCAGATCAAGTTTAAATGATTGGTTCCTTGAGTATCTTAAAGTGGAGATGCTCTCTGGATTTTGGCAACAGTTTGGTCCCTTTTGATATTATTCCTCACTGGATATTTTTCTTTGGTATCAAAAGTCAAGTGTCTAACCCGTAGCACAGGAATGAGCACATTTTTTGCGGACATATGTGAAATATCCTATATCAGAAAAAATCTTGGCAAATAACAAAACAGACCTCATCTGCCGTATGGAACTCTGATAAACTTATATTCCGCTCTTGTAAAACTAACCCTTCCTTCGTTACAAGGTCCATGACCTGCAAATACAGATATTTCTTGCTTATAAAGCATGCAAGAGCCGGTAAATTGTCAAAATAATCTTCAAATAAGCATAATGTTAAATTAAGCAAGCAGTGACATCCCCTTGTGCACATAAGACATTTAAAAATGAATTTTGCAAAAACAAAATTACGTTAGTTAAAATATTCGGATAAAGTTGATCAATTGACATGGTGGTCTTCAGGTATCCAAAAGAGAGAACTAATTCTTATATTTCCCATAACCAATCAAATTGCTGTCGTAGAATTAGAGGATCCATTCACATAACTAATATTTCAGGATATTAACCTCCATGCATGAGGCTATAGAGAAGGACAAACATTAAAAAACAGGAGAACATAGTCGTATTGCTTATTGTGCCTGACTCAGCTCGTGTCGCTGAAAACCAATGGAGAATTAGAAACCATTTAGAATCATCTTTTATCAATATTTATAAATGCACATAAATCTTTTTTTCTCTCTTTCTTTTTTTTGTTAATGAAAAAAACTGGGAAAAAAGAGGTCAAAAGATTACGTATCGCACCCATACATATTGAAAATTTGGAAGTATATTATGAAGCTTACTGTTGCCCGTGTTATGCCCGGAAGACAGTAATCAGCATGAGGTGTTGCTACACGGCCCTTTTTCACTAGAAACTGTGTCACAAGGAGAGAAAAATTTGACACTTAATAGATGGTTTTCATAAGCGAGATTATCTACAGCCTAACTGTCCACGAATAGTGGGATAATTCTATTTTGTCAAGTGCAAGTTAATAGGAAAAGAAAAAATAAAAAAATGTCGAATGAAAATTCCATAAAAAAAAGATAGGGACTTGCAGTGCCAAATGAATCTCCCACCCCATCTCACCTCTTTCTATGACACCTCAAGTAAGAACACAAAATGTGAATAAATTTTTCTGATTAATAATGTTTCTTAAGATATAGTGACTGAAAATCACATCAACATTCTTCCTTAGAATGTCACCAATGAAAACCTCACCCCTGTACTAGGTTACTACTCTTTCCTTAGGTCTACCGAAGAGCAAATCAAGGAGATTGTATGTTGTTGTGATAATGATCTTACTATGTTTGTCGCATTTGTTTCTGAAACGTAGCCATCTTTATCAAGCATGATAGCATCATCAGCACTCGCATTATTCCCTTCTATCTGCATCAACTCCGAAAATTATTTGAGTCAAACTAAACACTCCCTAACTACGAAAAGGGATTAAGCATATAAAAATATTACTATAAGATTCTATTTAAGCAAGTAGATTGACCAATGTATACCTTGGCAAGGATATTGTTAAGAAGGTTGTTGTGGTGAATTTTTGAATCCAAATTCTGCAAAACAAGACAAAAATTTAGGGGATGTCATCTTCGTATTTCAGTTTTTAGTTTTGAGTTTTGAATTTATTTTGAATTTTGTGTTTTTGGTGTCCATTTTGAGATTGCTGAAAATGCGTTCTTTTGTCATTTTAAAAAATTGTTTACAAAAAAATAAAATAAATGAAGTTTTGGCATGGTTTTAACTGAAAACAGATAAAACAATTTTCTTGGCGTTTTCTGTTTTCTTTGTAAATTTTAAACTCATTTTTTGAAATTCGTATCTGAAAATGGGTAAGTAAACGTGTTTTCAATGCTTTCGAAAAATGAAAACTGAAAATGGTCTGAAAATAGTAAAGAGAACATGCCCTTAGATTCCTTGGTTAAATAACTCACTATTGCATAAAGTTTCCCAAAGAGATTTATGGATTATAATCAAATAAAGAATGAGTTTCAACGACGGTGTTCACATAATGGAAAATTCTGATGATGTCCTCACATACATGACCTCAATGCAATTGAGTAAAATATTTTATTGTTTCATTAACTGATTGGAAAACACACTTCTGCTTAGTTTATACAATCAATTAACCATACTTAACTGAGCCCTTTTGACCTTCATTTGTGTGATTTTTATGAGCATGAAACATGAGAAACAGCTTGAGCATTGAATCACCTTAACGGAGGATGGGTAATGACACATTTTAGTTATAACGTGTAATGAGCAATCTGAGCAGTGTCAGATCAATTTAAATGTATCATACCAGTCAGATCTTGCATCTTATGTTGAACAATTTAGATCTAAAACAATAGATAAAGGAAAAGAAAAGCAAGGATTCACAAAAGTAATTCAAGCTGATTGTGCAAACCAAAAGGAAGAGTTGAAAGAATATAAATGAAGAGTCTTACATTTGGTGAATTACGGCGTGTGGTTGCCGTAACCAATGTTATACCCTTCTCATTTTCATAGATTGGGGGCTTCCATTCAGCAAGCACTGCAAAGGTACAAATAAAAACTAGCCTATAGTTACCAGATTACAAACATAATTTTTTTAAAGAGTACAAAATTTATTTTTTGTTATTTCATAACCCAAAGCCAGAGGTACAAAGATGAGCAGCACCATAAGAAGTGAAAAACAAAGGTTTTGCAATGTGAAATGTCGTATAACTTCTCATATTTGCACAACTTAAAATGTACCGAAACTGCAAACATTCAGTGCCAGATATTTTCCAATACCTTGTGGGCAACTTGCTTCCTTCATTGACTGAAATGTGCTTTAAAAAAAATTGCAAGTACTATAACTCATGGATCCCAAAATTTTATTAATACTTCAAGTAAATTTTACTGTGCTTAAGTTATTGTGTCTCACATAAGAGCAGAGAAGAACCCTTCCATGTTTTTGCAAAAGATAATACTAATACTTAAAAGTCCTGGTAGAATTGGCATTTCCAGCGGACAGAGTTCTCATCATTGCATCCTTAACTTGAGACAGGCTCTGTTAGATCAATAAACTCTTTTCAACGAAGTTTCATCTAATTTGGAAAACGAGAACTTAACGAATTGGTGCTTCACAGAAAGGTCCAAGGAAGTTATTTCTCGTCTCCCACTGAAAATATTGTGCAGCTTTTGTTAACTATTTTTATATTACATCAACATTTTCTGATGAAAATTGGTTGAGGAGGAAGAAGGAAATCAATAAAAAGTCATATATTAAAGTAGAGCTATATTTTCCAATTGACATAAAACGTGGAGCATGATTTTTAGTCTCAATTGGTTGTTTACACTGTTGTTCTATGTAAAATGTTCATCAAAGTCTTTATACATGATCATTTGGAAATGAGAAGGGAATGGGGGCGCAAATGCCCACGGCGTACCCAAGATTCCGAAAGCAGGTCATTGTGGCTGAAGTGCCATATAGCCTCAAAGTGTGATATAGTTTATGCCACAGCCAATGCTACGACTTATGTAAGGGAATAAGCACTACACATATATCTTACCGATTAATGTACATCCATAAAGGTTTAATGATGGGCTCATTCCAGAAGTTACCTGGAAAACCAGACAAAAGGATGACTAAAAGCATAAACCAATGGAATAATTTTAGAATAATATATGATAAATGTGGAACACCCAAGTTAGGCCCAAGTAATATTTTTGGAAACTTTCATCCGAGGAACATGAGGTTCATGATGTAGAAGCAGGGAAAGTTTCATAGGAAGATATATCATTGAATATAAAAATGCAATATATACAAGAACGCATTCCTTTGGCAATTAAAAGCATCAGGAAACCTGTAATTTCCTTACCACAGCTTCCCCCGATTTTCAATACTTCCAGTCCATTTCACTATGTTATCATTCTTTAATAACCTTATCTTACTGCAGTACTGCCCACAATCAGAAGTCAATCATCACTAACCTTATTATTTTACCTAATGTTTTCGAACATGGTTGGTATTAAAATGAAGTATTAGCATTTCAATATTTTATCATTTATGATATATTTTTCCTTGCTTTGCCTATATTTAAGTACAAGAATAAGGCTTGGTTTGTAGTTGTTTTGCTGTGACTAGCAATATTTAAGTACTGAACACTGAATTGTCAGTGATATTGTGTGTATCAGGCTGCAAGAAGTTTCTCTTTTCTTTTCCTGTCAGTCCAACGACAAGATCACCAATTGATTAGCTTAAACATATGGATACCCTCTTTTTTTTCTTTTTCTTTTTTGTTTCTTTGTGGGAAGGGGAGTAAAAACCAGAAGAAACATGATCAGTTGTCTCATTTTGCATATCACCAATCAAAGAGATTAATAGTTAAGCTAATCAAAGAGATTAATAGTTAAGCTATGTATAATTCATTAGCATGTCACTGTCCAGTTAACTTGGTAATACCATACTAAATTTTTTTTATGATCAAGGGAAAGCAAGTAGAAAGGATTCCTTCCATGTTGTTAATGATTTAGATGCAGAGGAAAATGTTGGCTTGGTCCTCCCAAATTAGCACTTATACCATAACCATAAAGAAAACTGGGGAGAATTACAGCAAGCGTATAATTATAAGCAAAGAAAGCCCATCAATTTATTCAGAGACTTCTCTTTATTCTATATTTTCATCTGGACCTAAATATGGCTTAAGCTTCTTCAGAATTTACCATTCAGTTAACCATTTTCTTCATGTATGTCATGTCGTGCTTATGTAACAGAAACCCCAAGGTACATTACAATTTCAAAGTTTGCCTATTCTAGGAGGGAGGAACCAAAAAAGAATAACATCTGCCTACCTTCTTTCCACGTGTCAGAGTGAGTCTAATGTGTGTGTCATCAAACATCCCATTCCTTAATAGAGTTTTAAATATGGCATCCTTCACCTGCAACATGTTGAATGTGTTCGTGATAGGTAAAAAACAAAGACTACCAGGCTCCAATGATATGCACAAAAACAGTTTAATAATTAAATAAACTGGTTTGCATCAACAAGTTACTATTTTTTATATGTATAAAACCACCTTACCTGTTCGGGAGTTGGTACATTGCTAAAGGCTAGAGCTTTTGCGGAGTCTAACAACCTGGAAATAAGAACAGGTTGATTAAATATGTATAAATACATATGCTTGTGTGTGTAGTTTCAAAACTATGCCCCTATTTGGCCACCATTTCTTAAAACTAATTTTTTCCAAACTCATTTTCAACCACAAATTTCATGGGACCTACAACTTTTATCAACTTTTCAACTACATGTTTCACAACTTTATCAAAATCTACCGAAAATTTAATTTTTATACTAACCAAACAGGGCTATATGTGTGCGCGTGTATTAAATTTTCAAGTGGAATGAGAAAGTTATTACACAGAGATCATGAATTCAGGAACATTTTCTATTGATATTATGCTCCATTGACGAGTGAAGTGAAGAAAGATGAAGTAGGAACATATTCTGATGTCAATTGGTCAAGTAAATCACATTCTTCCCCATAGTCATTTCAAATGTGAGCATCATCACTCATCATACAACAAAATCAATTTCCAAGTCTAATTTTTGTAGGCCCTCACCACCCCCAATTTTGTTAACAAAGCTTTTCCCCTAGTTCAATCATGCTGAGAACATCAGATTCAGGAGGAGATTATCAGAAAAGTAGTTTATATGTTTTTTATTAGGTTATCAAATTTACTGACATGTAGAAAAAAAGGATAAAATTAACTTTTAAAATAGCATACGAACAACTATTAGCAGACAATGAAGAAGACAATTTGACAATGTTTTCCTATTTGTAGGAGTATACAGTGTCATCATAATACTACTGATATATTGAACAAGTCCAATAGTGTCAAGTAATTCAAGAATGAAGTATTATAACTTCTCTCTGATCCCTTTCACTTACCGATCTAAATGCTCCCCTAGTTTAAATATCTTCCCATTATAAACTCGAAGCCCTTCCCAAACTGCATCGCCACCTTGGACAACAGAGTCTAGAACTGAAATCTAAAATTTTCAATAACAAAATTGAAAGACATTTAAACCATTCTGGCACATTAAAGTACAACATTGAGAGCTTCTACCTATGATATTTTCTAAATTTTTAGAAAAGTACCTTTGCACTTTCACGGGGCACAATCTCATTACCAACCCAAACAAGCAACTTCTCATTGGCAGGATCAGGAAGTTTAGGCTGGAGGGATATTATACCACTCCGATTCACATGGTGCTTAAGCATGTTATAGAAAGGCAAAGATTGCTCCAGCAAGTTGTACAAAGTGGGTGGAAAAGGCTGACAAGTGAAACAGGGGAAAGACATCAAGCAGATCTCATACAAGGATACCAAGGGTCTTGTAAATGTTCGATCATCATATTCCATCATAAGCATGCAGTAAGTGGGCTTCACGGATTGGTCTATTGTTAATTATTTTAGCAAGCATGACGTGTGACATTTGAACACATATGCTGAATCATTGAAAAGGCTTCAGAAAATGTAATTTAGAAAGAATCCAAATTGATAATTGACCAAAAAAGAACGTAAAACACAAATTAAATCTATAGGTAGCATAATGGAGGAACAAAGATGTATGGAACAACGAGATGATGCTTTTAGAAAGTAATTCCACAAGACTAACCTGCTGCTCAAAAGATTTTGCTCAAAGCGGCATTTTGATATATAAAATTCATTATGATGCAGGAAGAATAAAATAAGAAAAACCACATTTCAACTCCAGATTAGTGTGCACGGGCAATTCTAGGCAGTAGATGGTAATTTAACTGTGCTCAACTACTGATTCCAAGAGGATATGCAGGTGTTCTTCTCCTTACCGCAGGATACTTGCTTGGAGATTTAAAGCCTGTCAATTTATGTGTAGTTTTATAACAGTAGGGGGCCCAAATGCCATCAAATGCTTTTGGCCCTGCTTCCCACCTGTAAATAGAAAGTCCAAACAATCATTCACTTTTGTAAGTGCAATGTTAAAAAGTATGACAAGTTATTCATTTAGGAAAAATTGCTCTAGTACTAATTTAGCTCTCCCTCTTCCTCCCAGAAAATCTTCAACACTGCAATGCTTTACGTATTCCTTTTGAAATGCAGATTTTAAATGGTCTTAGATCTGTTTATGTATTCTTCTGTTTGAATGATGCAAAATGCAACAAACATTGTCCTTTCTAATATGCAGCATGTCACACTCCCCACCCCAGCAATGTACACACTACCTCTACACTGAAAGAAAGGAGCACAAAGCCAACACTTAATGAAAAGAATTACAAGTTGATGTAGGATAATCCTATTATAAATAGGATTAGGATTATATATTTATAATAAGATGTCTAGTTATAATAAGTTTTATCTTTTTATTCTAATATTTTGTTTAAAATAAGATTTCTTGTCTTTATTAATTAGAATATGATTTCTAATTAGATTAGGATTTTAGATTATTTCCTTTTAGAATTTAGTTTTCTTATATTAATAGGATTAAGAAATAGTTTTGCCTATAAATACAAAGGCATTGTACATTTTTAACAATCAATCAATTATTATTCAATATATACAAGATACGATTGTTCAAATATCATTCTTATTCATTACATAATTCTTATTACAATAATTTCATAAATACTTCTGCACCACAAGTGAACAAAAAATTCCTGTAAATCTGCCTTAGGGATAGTTTCCTATCCAAACATCTGCCTTGAGATGATAAGTGAATTCGTGAATGATCCTAGAGAAGTGCACATGGAAGCAGTGTTTAGAGTATTTGAACAACTAAATTCTTTGCGAAGCCGAGGCATTCATTTAAAAACCACACAAAAACAGTTCATTGTAATTTGGATTGTATTTTACAACCTACTAAATCAGTGGTTTTTGACATTTTTCAAATTTTCTTCCAATTTTGCCTTCTCTAAATCAATTATTTCAAAGTCTACCCTAAAAGGGAATGAAGCTTAGACAATTGTTTCCAATTATACCAATTATTCAAACATATACCTACATTTTTTTATATATGAGCACATATATAATTTTATTCATATAATTTTATTCTTTTGAAAAAATTTCAGAATAGACGGATAATAAACTCTCAAGCATGGGGGGACTGTTTTAAAAATAGTTAATAGAAACTATCCAAACCAGGCTCCTCATAATGTTCGAAACCGATAATTTAAAAAAATCTTAACTGGTACCCTAAAACTCCCTAGCAGGCCCTAAGGGGAATGCTAAACATCTATCATTGGCTTGAGAGATAGAGTTGAAAAATCTGCGTGCTTGTATAGCAGATTTCTGAAAGATCTTTTTTTCCTAGCTCATATGTGTTGTAGCCATTGGACAATTGTAGATAGAATTTCAATGAATTTTTTTCTTTCTGCTCTTATCAAAGAGGGATGCCTCAAATGGAGGCAATGATTTCCATCGCATTTATGAACTTTTCAGAATCTCATTTCTCTCCTCGTCTCTTTTTCCACGATAATTTGGGGGTTTGTTTAGCTCCTTTACTTTCCTTGTTTCAACATATCTTTTTTAATACACTACATTTACATGACTCTCTTCCCTACTCTACACTTTATTTACTTCAAAAAATGACCTCTGGACTCTTCACAACCATAATCTTCTTTAAAATAGACAAAAGGCAGAAATATCCAAAATTTATAACTTTTCTTGCACAGCTCAGAAAGGAAGTAGTATTGGTGGATTCAATAAATAGAATACATTCAGGTATATTTGCCTTACTTGAGCATCGCTGCTTGAAATGGAATACCAAGATCTTCACATAGACCACGCAAAGTACCCTGCACGAGTTTAACATTAAAAGGATTATGATCTAAGGTCTTTGGATTAAATATAACTACCAAGAAACCTAGTGCTTCACATAATACATGATATAACAAACTCAAGTTAGTAAAATGTCTACGGATGAAAAGTCATTCGAGTAATATTGTCAAGCCCCTCAGTTCTCTTTCAGTCATCCAATTTAAGTTGCATGCTGATGAAGTAGAAAGGAATTGATGGGAGACTGCAAAAGCCAAGTGAGTGCCAGCAACCAAAGCTCCATGAACAGCAGATGGACCACCAGATTCATCAGAGAAAACGATCAGAACTTGTACAAATTCCAGAAGTTTTTTACGTCTTGTGAGATACAATATTCCAAATGTAAGACCCATACAAGGTTTAACATAAGCCCCGCCTCCGGGTGAGGGGTGCAAAAAACACCTCAAAACAATAGTGTCTTTGTAGATTTTTTCTTTTGTTTATTTGCACACTTTAAATTATTCATTATGAATTTTGAAGATTGTTTATGATGTATTATGAGCTTATTTTACATTTCAATAAACTTTTTAACATTTTTTTGGTTTAATGTGGTGCTTACACCTCAAAACGCCCCGACTCGCCTCATGAAAGAAAAAGGCCTCTTTAACTGATTATGCATGTTTAAAAACTGGACCCATAGAAACAGAAAAGGGAAAATAGAGCACTAGACATGATTGTCAATGAAAAAACATCTTATTGATGACTCTTCGATATATAGCATATATGCGTACACATGAATACCCTTAAAAAGAACAGGAGAGGTAAAAGCATTAACATGCTGTTGAACAGATAAATGTCTCTCCAAAATTAAACTATATTCTCTATGGACAAATACAGTGTACACAGAGAAAATAGTCGGAATCTATCCTGCAGAAAGTCCTAAGCTTACTCTGTAATTGGAAGATGAGCTAGCCACGATATTATTCAGAAAGAACAGATTGTTCCGAGGCAGTGTATAAAGCCAGTCTATATTATAAAAAGACAAAAAATCCAATGATGCAATATGTTTTAGAAATTTTGAGTCCTCTTGCAACATCTTATAATATTCATATAGGCAATGCTCAAAAAGGCTTAATCGGGTATTGATGTATTGTATCTTAGTGAGGCAAGGCGTAATCCTTGAGGCACTTCGAGATGACATAACAACAAAATAATTCAAAATATAATATTACAAAAATATGCTCGTAATAAGCCATTTTAAAATTTTTATAATAAAATTAATTAAAAACAAAATTGAAAGTCTCTAACCTCAAACAAATATAAAATAAATCAATAAAATAGAAGAAATTAAGTTCAGGAATTAGTAATCACATAACAAAATTATAATTTATTACTATAAGTAGAGACAACTCAGATATTTCTTATATCTATGATTAAAGAATCATTAACTTCATCATCCTCGTCACACTATTTGTCTCTTCATTTTATCATCATCCTCCACTTGCAATGGTTCTCCTTCCCTTTTCCTACTGTGTAGGCAGAAAAAAGAAAATAAAGAACCCATAAAACATTTTAGGTTACAAGAAATAGACCAAAAAGGTAAGGCTTCTAATTAAATGTTGACAAATGGTGATCATCTCAGTTGCATTGAGGCCCAATCTTGAGGTGTAAGTAAGCCTTACAAATGGCACAAAACGTGCGGGTTTTTAGGCGTTTTATGAAAGCCTTACATGAGGCAGGATTCAAGGCTTAGCCTCAAATATTTTTATTAAACAATGCGTATAGGTATTTAGAACCTTCATGTAATTTCTTAGAAATATGAAAAAATGCTATGGTCAACAATCACGAGGTTGTGAATTCAGAGATGAGGGGCAATCATCACACAGTATAAACACAAGTTAGCTAATCAAGCAACTAAGTTCTATTCTTACCTACAATAGCCATGCTGGCATGACTAATGACCCTTCTATCTCCGTAACTAATGATTAACAAATCAACATACAAGAAGCAAAGAAGAACAACCACCATGTGTAACTGTATACCAAAAAACAAAGAAAAGGAAAGAACAAGTAGAATATTCAGTTTTCAGAATTGTGTGAAACCTCGGGATCTTCTTGAAGTAGGGCTCCATCAATGATGGGAGGAGATTTTCCTAGTTCACACAGCTCGCTGTAAATGGAGACTAAGCTAGCATACCCCATCTCCATGAATGATGGGGGTGAGACCTTGTCAAAGGATGGCTAACAAGACAGCAGATAAATTTATGATCATTGAAATGATATGTAATAAAGATGGAACATGATTACAAGAAAAAGGGAAAAACGAAACCACACATTCCATCAATTCCTCGTATAGTTTCTCAACCTCAATGAACTATTTCTTTTGATAAGTTTGTTTACTTGCTAAATGTTAAACTGGGCCTCCATATGAATTAAAAGTGGCATTAAACTATGCGGTAAATCATTATATGACAATAGATGGTGTGAAAAATTAAAATAAGATATGTACATATTTGAATACATAAAACATGCAAACTTACCAAAATATCAATGGGATTTCTTATCAATACACAGTGCTTTCCTTTCCTCATTAACTCATCGGTTAGATCAGGCACTCGTTGACTAGCCATATTCTGTTGATAGAGAGGAGGAAGTAAAACATAATCCCGTTATCATATCATATGATTTATAACTGAATTGTAAATGTCTACTTCAACTTGGATGGAAAAAAAATTCTATTATTAATAACTCATTGGAATTGAAAACCTATCACACACCAGTAAGAAAAAATTTACAAGTCAAAACTGATTAAATGCCAAACCTCCTTAAGATCCAAAGGTTGATCAATGATTTTTGGTTAAAACTAGATCCTCCAGAGTTTCTAGAAATTCAATTATAAAAGACAACAGTCCAACTAGAAAATGTAATTTACATGAATTACTTTAATTAAAATACAGTTTTTATCAATGAAAATCGAAAAAAATTTCAACAGAAAGGAATTAAAAGTAAAAAATCGTAAAGAATTGAATATTTTCCCAAACTTTTGCTGCTTCTTCACGTATGTATCTTTCTTTCTAATAGTTAATCAATTTGTCATTTTAACACATAAAAACTTATCTATTTCCTTATTTATCTATTTATCATCATTGAAGCATGTCAGCGTGTGAGCTAAATACACAACTGATCTGGAGAAAATCCTTGTGGCTAAGCTTCATTTACATAATATAGGGGAATTAAAGGATTAATCAGTGTAGAATAATTCACTTTTCATTTACTCAAAAAGTGAATTGCTGAGAGAAATAGATACAATTGTTATCAAGGTCAATTAATTACTAGGAAAAGCAACAAATCAAGACTGCTAGGCTTTCTTCAATATTTTGTTATCCACTTCTTATGAAAGATCTTGTGAAAGCTTAAAATGGTTTCTCCGTAAGCAGTGCTACCAGAAAGACTAGGTTAAAGAAAAAGTACGCAATGTTTTGCCTTGCAAATCACACTGTACAACTCATCTTTTAAACATAAAGCTACCAAATGTAATTATGCCCCTTTTTGGTTTAGCTAAAAGATAGGATTAAAATTTAAGTCAAAGTCAACAATTAGTTTTAATCACACGTTTCATCATAACCATAACTTTTCAACCACACATTTCCGTCAACTTTTATTAAAATCTACTAAAAATCTTATTTTTATCTAAACCGCCCATGGGTTATATAATGGAGTAGGTAATAACAGTCTGATGATTTCAGACTTCACCCATTTAAAAAGAAAAATAATATAATGGAGTAGCATATGTTTATGACACATCCATCTGTGCCAAGCAAATGCATCATGGAACTAATAATGGAAGATTATAAACATCACCAAAGCGTTTGTCTATGACATGTCAAGTTCCTTGAAAATTATACAATTTGCATTTAAAAGCAAGTGCAAAACTAGGATCAATCCACACCTATAGTGCATGTTCCCTACAGACATGAAAACTGTCATCTCACTATAGAAAATAGTTGGAAAGTTTATAATAACATAGTAGGAGAGAAGAATTAGTAAAAATAAGCCAATAACCCAGGTTGACTCTCATGCTACTAACTCTAGAGGTCTCAGTAATTACCTTACAGAATCGATACTTCTTTTGTCCAGGGCCATGGATGATCTCCTTCACGATCTTATTCCCATCTGATTCCTGTTAATCCCAAAAAGTAAATTGCATATGAACAAAAAAAAAAGTTATTTATTTACAGGTAATAATCTTTTCTAAAGAAGAATAGAACGAGGACTGTTAGGTCTAAGTAAATTTTGATAAGTTCCAAGTCAAAATCATTAAATCGAGTTGTTATTAGGCTTGTGTTGAAGGGTGTCAATAGTTGATGTAGTATGGCATAAAATACTGAGATATGAATAAAGCAGTTCACCGCTCAAGGTCTGCTCGAGCTAAATTAACAGGGTGTGACCTCTCAAAAACTGTCAGAGGACGCTCGAGCTAGATTTTAGAGCGTCGCCGCTCAAAGACTATCAAAGAATGCTCGAGCTAGATTACCATAGTATGACCGCTCAAGGGGGCACCTAAAGGGTTCTCGAGTAGATGATCAATTCAGCAGACTACCCGCTCCATGCTAGGGGCAGCTCGAGCGGTCGATTAGGTGGGAAAATCCTATATTCTCAATTTAAACTTTAAAACATCTCCAAACCACCAAAAACTGAAAAAATAAAGTTTACATACAGCTCTAATTGACCTTTTTTTGTGTGTTGAAGAAAAATGAAAAGTTAGAGAAGATCAATTGAATTTTTTACTATCTTGCTTCCTACATACTCTTCCACGTTCACAAACAAAAAAACCACAGAATCCTCTACCATATAGCCTTCTAGAGCAGGTGCCAGAGTGCACAACCAAGGAATTTTTGGGGTAATTATGGATTCGGAGTCAAAATCTACTAAAGTTTAGTTGTATATGGGCTATAAGTGCATCATCTGGTGGCAAGGTGTGCCCGGAGGGTTTTTTCGATTGAAGATTCTTCAAGGGTTTTTCCTTCGTATATAATTAGTAGTGTTTTTTACATTTCAGTTTATTTCATGTATATTTAGACAAAATAATTTGTAACTTGTTGCAAATTACTTTCGTTAATTTTAAATTTCGCATAGAACACATATTCAACCCCCTCTAGGTGAAAGTGGGTCAAATTCATAGTTTATCAAGAAGAAATGTATAAAAGTTAAATGTAGTAACACTAATATCCTCGTAAAGATATCTATTGAAATGTCTTCCCTTTGGCCTAAATTTAACAAGTATCAAGGGTGCTGAAACGGAAACTAGCATGATCGTGGCGCTTCCATATATAACTATATCTTTCTCTCCACAAAAAAGGATTTAAAATTCTTAGTAGGTGTAATTTCAAAGCTGGTGCCAAATAAAAAACAAGCACCTATTCTGGCACGTCCATTTTCCAATATATAGCTATATCTTTATCTCAAGGGAAAAGGAGTTAAAATTCCTAGCAAGTACTGTTTCACTTTGGCACTTGTACACATTAACGAATTTCTCTATATAAATTACTTGTTCAAAATTGGCAGTGCAGGTGATACTTTGTTCAATCATGGATCAAAAGCTTTAGCAAGAGCTAAAAGTACATAGCTGAAGTATCCCAATAGACTAACTTCGAGGCGGACCCAAAATTCAGTTTCAGTGGGGTCAAAATTTAACTAAGAATTTTTTTTTGCCAAATAAGACAAAACTGTAATATAAATCTCATACCTATAATTGTTCCTTATCGGTTTTCATACTTTTAATAGGTCATATAATATCTTCGTTATAAATTTCATTTATTACATATTTTCAACGTACATAACGAAATTGTCATTTCCCTACTACTTGATTTCTTTACAACTTTTTAAATGTATCGAATTCCATAAATATATTTATCTAGGATTCAACTCTAGAGTTATTTTGCCTAATTTTTTCCTGGATTCGCATATATAACACAAGAGTCATGGACTACAAGTAAAATCACAAACAGTACTTTCTGAGGAAAGCTCTGAATTAACCAACGCATAGAATGCGAGCTGAACGACAATAAAATTTAATTTCACTTACCATCTTTGATAGGAGCTCTTCTCGGTATGGCCTTTCTACTCCAGTAACACGTAGGAAATTTGGATAAAGCGGTTCATCAAGAACTTCCATATCATCTCTCTGGGAAAAGCAAAGATGAGAAAAGTTGTTACATTATCAGGCCCTGTTTGAGCCAAATTATTGTAAAATGAGAATGAGAAATATAGTCGTTATTGGAGCCCACATAAGAGATAGAAGATTTGAATTCAAATGTTGATGTGATGGATAACGGTCATATTTTTCATTTTAATGAAATAATAATGTAGATCAAATGGGGGCTCAATAAATCTAATTACGTAACATTTGTACCTTTCTGCATCGTACCCCCATCTTTTGATTTCTATTAGCTTTCAATCCCATTACAATTATTAAAGGGTGAGTAGGTGTTAGTGCTATCATTAATTTAGGTGGTTTGAAAACTTGAAAAATACGCCTTACACAACCTAGTATTCCATCTTGAAAAAGATAACTAGTGGAAGACATTATATTCCTAAGTGGAATAGCAGAAACAAACATGTTAGCAAACATCCCATATTTTTCCACCTATAAATGCCATATGCCTTTTCAAACGGCAATATTCTTTTCTTTTGAACTAGGAACTTGATGCAAATTAATTATTAGTCTTAGTCAAAGAGTCATTGTCCAGTTTTATGCAAAGTCTTTGCTCCAGTTAATTGTGTTTTAAAATTTGAGCAGTGAAAGAAGTCTATTAATTTTCATAGATTAATTTATTTGAAATTTAGGTATTCTTAGAGTCATTACTGGTGTCTAGAAGTCATTGTTTACTATAAATAGAGTCAAGAATGCAACTTTGTAATCAGTTTTTATCATCAAAATTATTGAAAGTTTATATAGAACCCTCTTGTGGGAAAATCTGCCCAATAAGGAAATCAGGGAATCATTGTAATTATAATATACAATTCCATAATTTAGGAGAAGTGACAATCCCTCATTAAAGGAATATCACAGTCCCTTACTTAAGGGGATTTAAGTTAGGATAGTTTCCAATTTTATTTATTCTCAATAAGAGTATAAATTTAGAGATTGTACATCATTATTATGAATAAGAATAATTCTTCAATTCTTCATATGGTATCAGAGCCCGTTCCGATTAAAACTCAAAAAAATTGAGCACGTAGATTTCAAGATTTGTATGCTTAAAAGAGCCACTGTGTTGCGAGGACATGTTAAAGGATAAAATCCCACATCGAATAAAGATGAAAGTATATACCAATTTATAAGAGTTTGGACTACTCCTCTTAATAAGTTTGATATTTTAAGATAGAACTTCAAATCTTAACAAGGTATCAGAGTTCATTAAGCTCCAACGAGAAATTTGATCCGATTAAGACTTAAAAAAATTGAGCACACGGATTTCAAGATTGATCTGCTCAAACAAGCCGCCATCTTGCGAAGCCATGTTAAGAGATAAAATATCACATCGAATAAAGATGAAAACATAGACCAATTTATAAGAGTTTAGGTTACTCCTCTTAATAAAGTTGACCTTTTAAGGGATACAAGTTTTATCATCCTCCAACTCGAAAGTTCTATGTGTCAGCCGATGTAACATTTGTTGAAAGAGATAGTTAATTTCCACAACCTTATCTTCAGGAGGAGACAACGTATATTGAAGATAAGGACAATGGCTTATTTTTACTAGTACTTGATTCTCCCATTCCCTCATGTCCTCCTCCAATCCCTAAAAAATCTAGTATTCCAAATTCTGTTTCAGCCCCTGTTTCTACTAAATTCGAGCCACCTTGTACTCCTACATCAAAACACAAACTTTGGAAAAAGATAATCAGGTTCAGAGCTCTACTTGCC